GTATATACCATGAAGTCGAGGTGGTTAAAGGTGGGAAGTAGACACGAAGCGCAAGCCGTAAGAAAGTGTGCGTGTGCCCCCTCTCGTTTAGTCCTTAGAATGTCCGCTGGATGGCGGTGCTTCTATATCGGGAATAGAGTAACTGTATATGCCACCTTTAGGTAGCAGAGTTGCGCCACTGTTTTCCGGGCACCGCTCGCTCCGCCTACAGGAGTACAGCGCCCCTATTCGCCGAGCGCCATCACGTGGTCAAACGTGGTTCATTTGCACTGCGGAGAAGCCAACGCTATGCAGATTCCAGGCAGATCAAGCGGGGTTGACAACAGGTGTTGTCATTCGCACCGCGCTTCTTCGGTAATGCAGCCATGCTGCCTGTTGGTCACGAGAAATGCGGCAGCAAATGCATTCTGTGTTGCATTGTACTACGTAGAGCCCACGCCATTATACGCTAGTGCAGCGGGTGTTGCTATAGAAAGATTAGTGTTCAGTCGGAAGGAAGAAACACTTTGCCATTGCCGTCTGCAGAATTTTCTCTTGGGGGGTGCAAACCAATGTTGCATCATGGTTTAAGGAGAGCGAGAGCACTGATCTAGCTCGGGTGCGGGCAAGTGCGGTTGTGGCTGTAGGGGGGCAAGTGCCCCTTTTTTCACTTCTCTGCTGACGCACATGCGCCTGGCTTTGTTTTTTTTCTTAAATCGGTCCTCGTTACCACAAAACTTACTATATTTTTATTAACCACAGATGCAGTAGTGAATACGTTGTACATGCAGAGTTGGCCAGCGTGTGCCAGCTGCATACGTCCAAATTGGTCTTGTTGTTAAAACGCTAAGAATATGGGGAGAATTTAAACTAGAACTATTTGAATCGGCAAGGCGCTGCTGCTAGTTCGTGATTTGAGTGCAGCTTTGAAACTTTAAGTGAAAAGAATGTTAGACACGACAGGGTTGTTGAACAACGATGCACATTAATTGTCGTGAGTCGCTATTGCAATACGAGCGTAATACGAGAGCCGCGCGTAACGTAGGCGTTGCACGGCCACTCTCGATCGCTATCCAGCTCGATCCAGTTGAAGAATACAAAGCTTTAGCTAGTTAACTCACACAGTTAACGAGTGAGCCCAACGCAATGAAAATATTCCATCCCTAACTTCCTTGATAGCGATGAACAGTGAAAAATAATTATGTAAATGTAAATAGGAAAAACAACGCAAAAGAAGCCGAAGCTAATGTGTGGCCTACTATAAATGTACGTATGTATCACTGGTTCAACGAGCTGACGCACGTTTTTTTTTTATTATTACGTTTCATAAACGTAAACACAAAATCAAGGCTTCCAGGTGTGACCATAGCAACCGAGGTTTTCTCGTACTTTCATAAAAAATGTGAAGAAAAGAAAGCAAAAAATAAAGCAACGCTATAAGCGTGAGCGCTGCTCCTGCGCGGGTGATGAGTGGCTTTTTCACAAGACATTTGAACCCAAGATTGCGTACCTTGGCGCAACTCTGCTACCTAAAGGTAGCATATACAGTAACTCTAATCGGGAATAATGATGAAAAGATGCGAGATGGAGTGTTGAATAGATGTACGAACGGACACACACACAGATGCATAGACGGACTCACGGATGGCTGCACCGATGGATGGACGCATGGATGGATGCAGAGGCGGATGCATGGACGAACGCAGGGACGGACGCGCGGATGGACGTGCGGACGCACGAACAGACGCACGCAAGGACGGGCGAATGGACGCACGGACGGTCACACAGCTGGACGCATGGACGGACGGAAGCAAGAACGAATGGACGGACGGATGCTTCGCCCCACTCTCCTTCATTCACTCCGTGGATATGCTGCAATTTTTTTTTTTTTACTAAGTAGGAGCAGGCTTTTAAAATAAAAATCGTGCATAGCGCGACGTAATCTTGCATAAGACGGCGGTCTTTGTGCTATTCCACGTGCAGCATTGTGCCGTTTTCCTATATCTCGCTGCACTATACCCCAAACATCATTGTCACTTATCACCAGTCACATGCGAGGTCTGTAGCAATCGAAAATTTCAAGAGAAGTCGCGACACCTGTTTCCTGAAGATAGAGCGGAAACACAATATCAGTCACGCTGTCACGTGGCGAGCCTAACTGTTGCAGTTCCTCAAATAAACCTTGCCGTTCATTTTTACGCTCACGACATTTAAGCAAACAGTGTTCTATATCGCCGTTTTCCTTGCGCTTCGAGCACAAGGTCGGCTATGTCATATGGTCAGTAATACCAACGTTGAAGTCACCAGATGGAATAAAAAACGGACAAACGGATGGACGGACGGACAGTCACACGGACGGGTGCACGGACGGACGGAAAGACTATGGTCTTTTTTTTTGAAACCATATACGCGCGCTGTCAACGCTATTTATTCGGCACATAGAGGGGACGACCGTCGGGGACTTACGACGACGGCGACAACGGACATCGTGCTAGCCTTTTAGCTCCTAAGAAGTTTAGCCTGCATGTGTTCTTCTCAAGCGCGCGCTTCAAGACGGGCGTGCTGCTCATTCATTTCCCCCACTGTACCACTCGCGTAAAAAAAAAAAAGACTGCGTCACATGTACGCTTTCCTTTCGTCTAAAGCGTGTTCGCGGCGGCTCAGCGGTAACCGAGCTCGCATGCCGACCCGAAGGACGCGGGATCGAACCCCGCCGCGGCGAACGCACTTCAATTTGGAAGCCCGTAATAGAGCACGGTGACACTGCAAGCACATTAAAGAACCAGAAGTGGTCGAAACTACACTCGTACCTTTCAACCGTACGACATCTTTCGGGTCCCGACGCGTTCTACCACATAAACCAGCCATTCCGTGAGCATAATTTAGCCCTTATAAGCATGCAGTCCATGCAAAACTGTATGCTAGTACTACCAGGGCGCGGGTTCGAATCCCGGCTGCGGCGGCTGCATTTCCGATGGAGCCGGAAATGTTCTAGGCCCGTGTGCTCAGATTTGGGTGCACGTTAAAGAACCCCAGGTGGTCTAAATTTCCGGAGCCCTCCACTACGGCGTCTCTCATAATCATATAGTGGTTTTGGGACGTTAAACCCCACATATCAATCAATGTATGCTAGTACTACAGAACCTGTTTCACAGATCTTTGATGGACTGTATACATCGTTCTCGAAACGTGGCAACGAAGCACCCCTGCAATAATAAAAACGGCGATCTCAAGATAGCTCGAACCGCTCAGCGCTAGTAATCACCGTCGGATGCCATCGCGAACCGCGCTCGTTCCCACGGTCATCTTTCTCACCCCTTGAACCCTGTATACGCGCCTCTGCGTACAACAAAGCGCTGAAGGGGGGGAGTAATAAAGGCGACCCCTTGAAACGTTCGTGTCTAACGGGGCATAACCTGCAGAAGGAATTCCCGCATCCCGCTGTTGTTATTATTGTTGTTGTCATTGTTGTTCTTCAAGTTCAAGCGGTATACAAATAGCTTAATGATGCGCGGCGTGGACAAAAGAACATCGCGCGCGGATCTCGGAAGAGAACCAGTTGAGGTGAGAGAAAAACGTAGCGTGGCGCGCGCACTGCGTCGAGTTCCGGCAGCTGCGCCCCAAAAACGGTGCACTAAACGGTTCCGCATAATGGGGTCCCCCCACGCAACAAACAAAACCTACGGCCAGCGACGTAATTTGAGCACTCACCCACAGTATATAAGCGACAGGCCAATGCACGGAACTAGAGCAACGCTGTTATATATAACACTGTCGGGAGTTCAAAACGAGAGAGACAATTTGAGAATGTGTGCCGTGCGAATTCACTTTGAATGAGCGCTGTATGAGTCATCATCTTAACGGGCTAAATGGCACGTTCAGTACTCATTATTTAGCGTTCGAGCAAACATAACGAGGCATTTGCGCACGACGAAGACGAGCTCGAAGGCGAGCCTCTTGGGACGTACATATACAATGTCGTTCACGCGTTATTTTGAGAGGACGACACTGCTGAAACTTATAGGTGCAGCAAAAAGTCGATTGAGTTAGCGTAGATTCGCGGTAGAAGGAACTAAATGCATCTGCGGTTATGCAGGAGCAGTTGAACCGCAGCAAGAGTGACAAGTTTGCGCGGCATTCATTGAACATGCTGATTTACACCCTTGCTTTTACCACTGAGCTTTGTTTTCTGCTTCTTTTTTTAGTTTATGGTGTTTGCGGTGTTTCTCCAGCGCCTTCGAGGTTTTACGTGTTCCGTATAGACCCACCTTCCTATACTCATGAAATTCGAGAATAATGCGACGAAACCCATTGATTGATTGATATGTGGGGTTTAGCGTCACAAAACCACCATATGATTATGAGAGACGCTGTAGTGGAGGGCTCCGGAAATTTCGACCACCTGGGGTTCTTTAACGTGCACCCAAATCTGAGCACACGGGCCTACAACATTTCCGCCTCCATCGGAAATGCAGCCGCCGCAGCCGGGATTCGAACCCGCAACCTGCGGGTCAGCTGCCGAGTACCTTAGCCACTATACCGCCGCGGTGGGGCTTTAGGTGACTTCTGGCATTAAAAAAAAAGAAAATACATTAAACGGGCCATTTTCGTCGTCTGTGTGAATACAACACTGCAGAACAATCTAATGTCAACTTTTGCGAAAGCTAAACATAATACTGCGTTTAAGCCACTTTAATTCGTCTCTGCGTGCATCTAAATTGACATGTGGGACGTTTATGTAAAATAATAACTTTCGGGTTCATACTTAGGATTGTCTAAAAAGCGAGGTAATCACTCTGTGAGACTTAGATGGCATACGCGAACGAGGTTTCGCTATGAAAAAAAAACGAATCGATTCGTACGCCACCGAGAACTTCAGGACGATTTTGCGGTGACCCGAAAGAAAAGGGACATCGTACAGACCCGGGAGAGGCGATCCGGTGGTCGCAGACGGGGGGGGGGGGGGGGGGGGGGGGGGGGGGGGGGGGGGGGGGGGGGGGGGGGGGAGGGAGACGGCTCACCTTTTTGGAGGTCTTCAGAAGAGAAACTGCGCTTCCGCCGGCGACCGAGGTCGCATGGTGTTGTAGTAGCCCCGCCGCGGTCACGGTTTGTCAAGCTGCGGAGCGAGACCTGCGTGAAGGAAGAGCACCATTGTGAGTCTTCGGCGCAGCCACATGCGTAGTTTGTCGAGCGAGAAGGCGCGCATCATTTCGCAGGTGAACTCGTATACGAGCAACGGCGAAAGCGATGTTGCGTTGTTCTTTCTTTTTTTAGACGCGGACTTCGTACCTAATTTCATGCTTTCGTTTTGAGGGCGCGCCTTCCTTGGCAGTTTCCGTTCTTCATTCAGTAGCGAAGTACACAACGTCTGAACAATAGTATTGGTCAATCCAGAAGGCAGTGCAGCCTATCAAAGCGCGTCCGGTTACTTCAACTACAGTAATTGCGTACTACCTGGACTAATTAACACTAGTTAATGCCGGCGAAATTATGGTTATAATTTTGCTTACCATTGACTGGTTCTGCCTATGGTCAGCTAAAACGCCGCAGGATTTTTCTTTCACATTAAGGAATAATTCTCGAGTATTGCCAGATGATAACGCAACAAACCATTGAACAGTTAGAAATAATAACAAGATCATGTCAACAAAACAGTCGCAATGCGTTGTTACGTGGGAAAATAAAAGAACTGGCAACATATCAGCTATGTAAGGAACCCGAAGTGTCCTTGAATCTGGCAATATTTCTAACATTTTCACATAGACCTGTAAAAATACCTTCATAAAGCTTCCCTCGGGTAGGCAACTCTGTCTAGATGAAAAGTATTGAAGTAAATCTGTAAAGTTCACGGCAGGATTTCCTATCCTGCTCGCACATTGAGGCAACCAGTCCTTAAATAGTAAAACGCGACAGACAGTTCAACAAAACAGACCAGTGGGCTTTTCGTGCAACCTGCCGTAAAGTTTAGCGCAATAAAAGCACGCTGAACGACAGAAGACAAGAGGGCAAAAAATTTTCGGGCAAACATTTCTTAGAATCTTAATATTGTTCGCACGCAAGAGTCAAATTACTGCACAGAGACTCTGGTTTCTCGTCAACAAGTGAACTTCGATTACAGTATACACCGATCCGGCGAATAATTTAGTAGATGGAGCGAAAGATACCGGGAGGGGACGACCCTGTAGGACATATACGAAGAAAACGTACGCGTTCTCACATGCGCATACGCTAATCGGTTTGAGCAGGATGTGCACGCACTACAAGATACCCGCGCCAGAAATTGCGGTAGCACTGCGGCGGACTACCGTGCATGGCGCTGACCTCGATTATTGGACACCCGTGAAAGAAAGAAAGAAAGCAAGCAAGCAAGCAAGAAAGAAAGAAAGAAAGAAAGAAAGAAAGAAAGAAAGAAAGAAAGACAGACAGACAGAAAGAAGGAAAGAAAGAAAGAAAGATAAAAAGAAAGAAAGAAAGAAGGGAAGAAAGAAAGAAAGAGAGAAAGAAAGAAAGAAGCAAAGAAAGAAAGAAAGAAAGAAAGAAAGAAAGAAAGAAAGAAAGAAAGAAAGAAAGAAAGAAAGAAAGAAAGAAAGAAAGAAAGAAAGAAAGAAAGAAGCGCGCACGGTTCACGGCAACGTCTGCTCCCTGAGCAACCGCACGAGAACGTGCATTCCCCTCGAGCACCTCCAGACGTGCCACGTCCCTCATGGCGTGGCGCGGTCTTTCCCCGGTACAATGGCTTCACGCTTCAATTGATATTCCTTCCCCACGTACGCCACCATAGCAACGTCGTGGCCCACTCCGCCCACAAGATGTGCGCAAATACCACGCGAGCCGAGAAGATTCTCGCCTATATATAGGAAGAACTTGCGCGTTCCCCCGCACAAGCTGCAGAGCCTGAAACATGCTTACGCGTACGCGCGCAGACGCAGGTATAGTCGAGCGCATAGCTCGCTGGCTCCGCGTAATGAATGCACCTGGGCTTGAGCGTCACTGCCGGGATCGTGGTGCTGCGGGCTTCGCGAAGAGAGTTCAGACTGCACAGATACGTGCAAGATGCCGCGCATGCTCCGCCCTATATAAGTGTTTCTTTCCGGGGATTCGACGTTGTGCGATAGATGGTTCGCCACCGAGCTACCCCGATTACGGAGCACTTATACTGTAGATCCTGTTTAGTCACGGTGTCTCCGTTCCGAGGATGATGATCATAATGACGGAGTAAAAAGGAGGGAGAGATGCGACAATGTTTGCTGCTGGCGGATATATATATCCTCGCCAAAGATGGCTGCCACCTGTTCTGCCCGAACGCCGCCTGTCGAACGAGACGCATATTGACGTTAGTAGCGTCTAAATGGTGAGGGGTTGACCGCTATTTCAATTACGTCTAACCACACCATAGCACGGCAATTAGAAATCAGTGAAACCATGCACAACGATCACCCAGTCTCCCGATGTAGAATACCGAGAGAGGCACATCTCTCAATTGCAACTGACATGCTTTTGCGTGTACGAAAACTTATTCATGAATAATAATAATAATAATAATAATAATAATAATAATAATAATAATAATAATAATAATAATAATAATAATAATTGGGTTTTTACGTGGCAAACCCTGTTCCCTCTCGGACTCCCTTGGTCTTCCTGCTTGGACAAAGTGTCCCCAGTATTTGATCAATAAATGAATGAATGAATGAATGAATGAATGAATGAATAAATAAATAAATAAATAAATAAATAAATAAATAAATAAATAAATAAATAAAACCGCGACATGGTCATGAGCCACACCGTAGCACAGGTCTCCGAAAATTTCGACCATCTGGTGCTGTCTAACATGCACTGACATCGTGTGGTACATGGAGCTCTAACACTTAAATTCCATAGAAATGCGGCCGCTGCGTTTGGCGTCGAAACCACGACCCGAGTCAGCAGCTGAGCGCCCCAATCGTTGTACCGCCGAGGCCGACGAGCGCCTTACTGTGCCCCTTGGAATTATCACCGTCTTCCATACCGTAGTCGTACCACGATATGGAATTCATCTCGCCGAAGAGAAGCAAAACTACATTGAGGTCGCCCTTCTCACCGTTCGAGTGTTCTCTTACGTCCGTTTAAAGAACGCAAACACAACACCTGTGTTTGCAGCCCCTCACTCGAGTGCTGTTGCTTCTTCGGTCGGTCTGTACACACCCGCTGTACCTCGAACGTCGGGTGAGATAGTAAAAAAACAAAAACACAGGAAGACATACCAGAATAGGCGCTGGCCCGAAGTACCATTTTCTTTTCTTTCTCTCTCTCTCTTTCGCGTGAATTCCCACAAAGCCGGTGCTTTTTCACGCGCGCCCGTAATAATTTCGGCGTGCAGCGCGCAGCACGAACTGAGGAAGTCTCGTTCCACGGTTGCCCCCTCTGCAGCGGCCTTCCAGCCGAATGTGGGCCTCCGCGCGATTCCGCCTCGAAAAAAACGGTTCCTTCCTGAGGCGAGCGTCATGCTGCCACAAGATGCTCGACGCCCGCGGGCTTCATGTTCCGAAGATTCGGTCGCTCATTGATGTTCCAAGATATGGTGAGGAGTGACCTATTCATATCTAAATCCATCTGTAGCCATCTCTCCACTTATCTAGGTCAAAGGCACTTTGACTTGGACGAGCTGGTACATAAGTGGATAGGCTTCAGCGCAATTTAGACGAAGACAAATGGAGACACACCGAACATAGACGAGCGTTCGTTTGTGTTCTGTGTGTCTCCATTTATCTTCGTCTAAATTACGCTGAAGCCTATTCAATTATCTAGGTTGTTACAGTTTTTGCACGTGACAACTTCTCGGGTTAACCACAGAGTTTCCTAAATGTACACTAGAGAGAACTCTTCCGCTAGTGTCTATGGGAGCTGCAATGTATGGCGCATCAGTGAGCACGGGAATTATGCGTATGACATGGATCTGCCTAGTCTTCGTACTTTACCTTCGTTCTGGCTTCGCGTGGTTTCAGGCTGCTTTGTCCCGAAACAACAATCGGCAAAATGTTCGGCAGTTACGCTTCACCATTTTAATCTTTTAGGCTCACAACTTCAAATAGGGTCCCGAATTCATGTCGTAGCCATAATTACCATGATCGCTAATCGATCGCAGCATCAGAATGCCCTGTAGTTAACTTTAGGAAACTCTAGGAGGTTAACCTCAATGCCTTTTCATTTTCATTAATTTCTCTCTCTCTCTCTGTCTTTCCTTCATTATGTATGGTAATGTCATTAACGTGTATAATGTAACACATACTTGTTCTTTGCAGTGAATATGTATGTAACCGTTGATAATGCTGCGTAAATTTTTACGTTTCTGCACACACGGTACTTCAACATTAAATAAAGGTCTTCGTACTGTATGAGACCTTGCACTGCAGTATCTACGTGCTACTCAGTAGCACGTTGATACTGAGTGTTACGCTGTATGGGTCATTTTTTTCTTTTACGTTCTGGTCAAGCGATCACCTATAAAGACGTGCAAAGGACAAGTAGACAGGCACACATGCATACCCTGACAGTGCTTTTCTCCCTGTTCTTACTTTATTTTAATCTCTTTCCCGGAACCGGACACGGCCATCTGGTTGACCTCCCCGTTTTAATTCTCTCCTTCCGTCATCCTACTGGTGTTACTGAAGGAGCGTTTTTATGTGATTTGAAGTTCGGCATCTTTTAAGTTCAAGCCACTTAGCAGTAGCCGGCACCTGATTTGTGTGCCTACACCTCCTCTACATCATATCGATAATATAGACAAAAAAAAATCTCACAGCTTGGCCGCAAAGGCGAAGCAATGAACGCGATAGCAACGAATTGGAAGGTCACGCGCAGAATGGCAAGCAGATCGAAACATGCCTTTCGTTTCTCACGCACAAAGGACGCACAAAACGGACTCACAGGTACATATTAAAGCGAATAAGCGTCTCAGTTGTTACTTCCCTATATCTGAAAAGCACGCCCTTTTCGCAAACGGAGGCTGTGCAACGATTGCAGTGACCTTCGTACGCCCGGTGACTAGAACAGAATCCTTCCGACGAAACTCAAAGGCTAGCCAAGATGTACGATTCTCCCCACTGCAAGATAATGGCACGCGATCGAGTGTACACCCCCTTATTCT